CGTCTCCGTCCCTGGGCGCGCTCCCTCGGGGAATGGCGCCGTGGGCCTCGCCGGACCGCCGGCTGCGGCCCCCGGGCCGAGCTGTTGGTCAGGGGTGCGCCCTCGTGCCCCGCTTACTCCCCTGACGGCGCCCCGGCAGCCCCTGCGCTCTGACGAGGTGTCGAGGGGAGCTAGCCGCCCCGGAAAGGTGGGGTCGGCTGGTAAAGACCTCAGATAACGCCTCTGAGCCCAGGGGAAGGGCGAGAGCCAGCAAGCGAAGCCGGTGTGGTGGCGTGTCTGTAATCCCAGCGCTCAGGAGGCCGAGGCAGGAGGATGGATCACCACGAGTTTAGGCCAGCCTGGGCTGCATAGCGAGACCCTGTCTCAAAAAACCAAACCAAACAAACAGTGAAAGAAGCACGGAGCGGAGGCAGAGGTCCGGGTCGGGTCGGTGACAGGGCTTCAGCGGGGACTGACTTTGGCTAGCGCCCCGGGTTGGGGTGCGCTGGCGGCCCCACTGCGCGCGGAGTGGCTCGGCCGGGCCGCGTTTCCCAGCAGGTGCACGCCCGGGGTGCCGCGCCCGGAGCGGCCACACGGTGGCGCGCGCGCCCCACTCCCGGCGCCGGCCCCGCGGTCAGGCCCGGCCCGCTCAAGGGCTGGTTGTTCACCCGGGAGCCGGATGAGGCGCCCGGCGCGACCCCTGCCACGTCCACCGTGTGCCACAGCGGGGCCCTGGGCCCTCGCGCCTTGTCCTGTGCCTTCTCGTACGGCCCGGATTCTCCAGCTGGGCTGCAGCTCCCCAAACATCAGTGATGTCCTGTCCCCCTCCCGCGTCCCCCACCTGACCATCGCGGAGCCTGGAGAGCCCCCGAGACCCAACGACCCCCCGAGGGTGCGCGGCCTCGCCCCAGCTCGGGAGAGGACCTGGCGGCCGCGTGCTGCAGGCCTGCACGGGGACCTGGACGAGGCCCACACCCCCGCGGTTCCGCGCAGGAAAGAAAGATGGACAGCATCTGTGTTTAAGGAGTGGTTGGGAGATTCTCTATCTCAGGAAAAAAGCTGTTCCCAAGCCATGTGTTTCTCCTCTCCGCTCACCATGAGAGAGTTTAAACACACAACGGGGCAGGCGAAGGTTGTGCACGACTGGAGTCGCATCTATGGGGGAGGCTGAGGCAGGAGGATCGTACATTCAAGGGCAACCCGGGCAGCTTAACAAGATCTTGCTCCTCCAAAAGGGGCTGATGGTGCAGCTCAGTGGTTGAGAGCTCCAAGTTCCATCCCAGAGCGACAAAACCCCATCCACCCGACACGCTGAGGACGGCCTACCAAGCGGGCGACGCCCGGAGAGGAGCGCGGCCGTGCCCTGGCGCGGGCCTCACAGCAGACGCAGTCCGGGCACAAGTGGGGGCGGCAGGAAGTCAGGCATTCCGTTCATTCGCCCTGCTCCCCGAGGGCTCCCTGAGGACCCAGGTGCTGGGCCTGGGAGCGGCAGGTTGGGTTTCCCGCCCGGTGCTCTTCCCGGGCACTGTCTGCCCCGCATGCAGGGTGCGCGCCCGACTCAGCCACCGGTGCCCCTTCGCCACCTCGCACGCATGACAGCCAGCCGGTGGGCTGGCCACCTCTGGAAGCGCAGCTTTCCCCGACGCGCGCGCGTGAACCTCAGCCTGCTCGCGGTGAGGCGGGAGGCGGAGAGCACTCTGCAGGTTGTCGGCTGTGCTGCAGGAAACTATCCGACACGAGACGCGTGCTCGGAGTCCCCGTCCCCACCCACAGAGAAGCTCCTGAAGAGAGCTGGCTTCAGAAGAGAGCCGAGGGGCGGTGGAGACGTTTGTACACCCATGTGAGGTGTAATAGTCATCATTTATAAGACCGATGACCCATTATACGGGCCAAGAAGCGAGGCACAAGTGCAAATCCTTAGTCAGCTGTGTCTGCCCGCGGTGCGCCTCCATGGTGTCTCCCCTGCCCCTTGCTCCCTGAAGGCTTCTCTCCTCCCTAGAGCAGGCTTTGTATTTGGGTGTGTGCATGTGTGTGTTGGTGCAGGGGGAACTCAGGGCCTGGAGCCTGCTAGGCCAGGGCTCTGCCACGGAGTCCCATCTATGGGGGAGGCTGAGGCAGGAGGATCATACATTCAAGGGCAACCTGGGCGACATCCCCAGCCCCAAATCCTGATGAAAGGAACTACACTGCATACCTTCCTTTATGGCTTGATCCTTTCTTTTAACACTGGGGAATTTTGAAGATTTTTATGGTGGTACAGTACACATAACATAAACTTAATATACATACTTTCTTTCAGCTTCATTAAGATCTATTTGGCAAATAAAAATTATATGTATCTAAAGCATACGCTTACTTGTTTGTTTTGTAGTCGGAAGATTGAACCCTGGTGTCACACATGCTAGGAAGGGCTCCACCACAGAGCCACTCCCCCAGCCCACAACTTGGTGTGTGCATACATGCATCATATGGACATGTGTCATGTTCGCACATGTGGAATCATCACAGTGAAGTTAGGAGGCGTTCCCATCAATTCATGTCGCTCCCATCTGTGTGTGTTCGCATGTGTATGTGTGTGGAGGGTGAGGGCTCTTAGGACCTAACCTCTTGGCAAAGTCAAAGTATATAGCACTGCTCCTGTTTTTGTTTTGTTTCAGACTGGCTTTGAGCTCACTCTGTGGACCAGGCTGGGCTCCAACTCACAGCAATCCTCCTGCCTTAGCCTCCTGAGTGCTGGGGTTATAGGTGTGTGCCACCATGCCCCACCAGCACTGTTAGCTATAGTCATGTTACTGTACATTGAAGTGCAAAGTGTACTCACCCTACAAAGGGACTTCTTACCCTTTGACCTATACTCCCAAGTCCCTCAACCCCAGCCCCTGGCAACCACTATCCTATTCACTGCTTTTATGAGTCTGAATCTTTTAGATTCCACACATAAGCAAGATCACAAAACATTTGTCTTGTCGGGGATATAGCTCAGTGGCACAAGCACCTGCCTGGCAAGCACAAGGTCCTGAGTTCGATTCCCGGTACCAAAAAAAAAAATTCAAAAAAAAATTTGCCTTTCTATGCCTGGCTTATTTCACTTAGCGTAATGTCCTTTGCATTCACTGCGCCGTCAGAAGTGACGAGCTCCTCTTTAAGGCTGACCTACGCCTGTGTCGAGCTCCTAGCTGGCTTGATGTTGGGAGGGGAGCCCTGAGGAGGGTCGGTGGTGGCGCTGCCCGGGAGGGTCTGTCTCCCCCGTTCCTGCCTCCCTGCCAGGAGCCCTTTTCCCTCTGCGATGCCGCCCGCCTTGGAGCTGGCTGACTGTGGACTGAAACATCTACAAACTGAGCCAAACAAGCCTTCCCCTCGGCACTGCGGGTGTCGGTAATTGTGTCTCGGTGACGAGGAAGCAGCGGTGACGTGCCTGATGCGTGTTCATGTGTATGTGCCGCACCCATCACATGTTCTTTATCCTGTGTGAGCCAGCGTTAGCTGCACCATGCAGTGGCATTAAGGACACTGACGGCATCGTGCAGAGGTCCGTGCTGGCCGTTCTGGAACATTTTCACATTTTCACCGTCCCAGCCGACAACTCTGCGTTCAGTAACAATTCGCGCTCCCCACCACCCCGTCCCACTAATCTCCATTCTCTTTCTGTGTCATGGATTGCCTATTCTAGGCAGCTCACATAAGGGGAATCACAGTATTTGTCCTTTGTGTCTTTGCGAAGTGTTTGTGTCATGTGACACCCTGGCACACTCTTGTCTAACCATGTGTCAGAAGCCTTCCCCTGAGGCTGCACACTGCTGGTCGCATGCCTGCCTTGCATTTGCCCTCACCCCTGCTGAGCGGAGCGGAGGTGTCTCCACCTTCTGGCTATTGCAAGGCACTGGAGAGCACCCAGATGTGCTCGAGGCCCTGTGCTTGTCCCTGGTTCCTGGCTCAGATGCAAAGCTGTTTAACGTTCCCATGAACCGCCCCATGCTTCCAAAGTGGCTGCACTATACCCTTGCCAGTGCTTGTTACTTTCAGTTTCGTTTACTTGTTTATCTGTTTTTGATTACATACCCATGCCACCGGGTATGAATGACCAACATTCGTTTAAGATCCTTTACACACACTCGGGAGGCTGAGGCAGGAGGATCATTGCGAGTTTGAGGCCAGCCTGGGCTGCAAAGTGAGCTCAAGTCCATCCTGAACTGCATAGTGAGACCCTGTCTCAAAAAGACAAAAAAAAAAAAAAGGTCCTCTTACACTGTGCTGTCACTGGTGTATTTTCATCAACTGTGTAATATTCCACTGGCTATCCTGTATTTATCCACTAACTGTTGATGGATGTTTGGGTGATTCCTGGTTTGGAGTTACCAGCAACGCACCTTGTTCACAAGTCGTGCCACACCCAGACAGACATTCTTCCAGGACACTGAGGAGGAGAAAGGCTGCAGCGTCAGGGGTGGATCTCTTCAGACCTTAGCTCTTGAGAGCGCCAGCTGTTCAGCATTCTCACCAGCACTTGGCACTGTCTGCTCTGTACTAGGACACCAGAAATTACCTCCTCCCCTCGCTCCACCTCTTTCTCCTCCTTCCCTCTTTCCTGCCTTTTCTTTCCCCATCCTTACTTTCTTCCTTCCTTCCTTTCTTTCAGATAGTGTCTCACTCTATCTCATAGCACAGGCCAGCCTTGAATTACCTATCCCCCAGGTTAGCCTCAGATTTACAGTCCTCCTGCCTCAGCCTCCTGAGTGCTGAGATTGTAGGCCTGTGCCACCATGTCTGGCTTCGTTACACTGGGGTGTTTGTGTTTGGTTTTCGTATTGGCCATAGCAGTGAGTGCGTAATGGCTTTACTTTGCATTTCTCTGCTTCTTTATTAGAGAGCGAGACATTTTCCATAGGTTTATTGGCCCCAAATTCTCAGGTCAGCTCTGTTTCTGGACTTTGGAATCACATGGGTCGATCACTTCTCACTTTCCCTTTGAGTCTGTTTTCGCTGCTCTTCTGTCTTGTAGCTGAAAAATAGGGACTGGTTGTTGCACCAGAAGGAGATACCAGCAGCTCTTTCTCCTCGAATCTGGAAAATCCCTCCTGTGGGAACTGGGTGTGTCCAGTGGGCTCAAAGGTGAGTGCTGACTGGTCAGGCTGCGGCCCTCAGAGTCCTGCGTCACCTGACTCCCCAGAATATGCTGCTGCTGAGGCCGCTGCCCTCACAGTGGGCAGGTGGGCAGCACATGGGTTGCTGCTGGCCGGGCTTCCTGGGGTCGCTGTGGAGGGGCCCTCAGTCTGGATCTGAACTGGGCGGGTGGGAGATCCCCCCTTTCTCTTGCCATGTGCATGTTGCTGGCTGCAATGTGGGAAGGTTTCTGGTCCCTTTACCCTGCAAAGGACAGCCATCCTTAGGGGAAGGCTATGTCCAGGAGGAGCTGGAGACAGAGGTTAATGGACTCAACCAAGAAGGACATTTCGTGTGTCGTCACAGGAGCGGGTGAAGAGCTTAGGCGTGGTGGCTCCAGATCCCTCCTGGCCGACTTGTGGGGATACTGGCAGCCTCCTGAGGCTGTAGAAAGTTCTGGAGAGGCTGGCTGGGTGGGGAGCCCCTCTGGGAGGAGCTCTGTAGACTTCCCCAAGAGCCTGTAGGGAAGTTTCTCAAGTCTCCAGTGGACTGCTTTCAGCTTTCAAACTAGTGGACCATATGCCTTCGAGGAAGTAAGGAATTGTGGGGTCTTCAAGGGGGGCAGCCTCTGCTGCCCATCGTAAGAAGAGCAGCTGGGCTAGGTGGGTGAACAGGCCTAGTACAAAATGTGCCATGCGTGTGTGCGTGCATATGTGTGTGCACGTCTGGGCCAGGATCATGTGAGGCCTTCTCTTTTATTCAATTAATAAATGACCTCCATGGGCTGGAGATTTAGCTCAGCGGCACAGCGCCTGCCTGGTAAGTGCGAGGTCGTGAGTTCAATTCCTGTTACTGGAATAAAAACCAAAAAAACAAAAAACAAAAAAAAAAGAAGAGGAAGAAATAAATGACCTCCATGACTGCACGTTTTCCCTTTCCTCCAATACCTTCTGGGTGGTATGTGGCCTAGACTCCCGGGTATGAACACATCTTTGGAACATGGGATCTAGCTCAGTGGCACAAGTGCCTGCCTGGGAAGCACAAGGTCCTGAGTTCAATTCCCGGTACCCCCCACCAAATTAAATTAAATTAGAAAGTGTATAAAAATGGAGCGTGGTGCACACACAGGCACCGTAGAACTCCTAGTCCTTGCCGCCACTGCTTCCATCTTTGCCCATGTTACTGTGGACGCCCCAAGTTGGTATCTTCACAGATGTAAGCTGTGCTTATCATTCCTCCTGATGACGGACACTCGGGGGCCTCCGATCCACAGCAGTGAAGGAGCCTCGGCCGAGTGCTCCTGGGCCCCGGGTCTGTGCTGTTTTGAGGTATCTGCCAGGAGGAGCCACGGTGGCCACACACTTGGTTTCCCTCTGGGGACCCTTGCCAGTCACATACTATCAGCGGTGTGAGGACCCCATCCCCACACCTTGGGCAACACTTCCTGCCGTGCAACTTCAGAACTTTGCCAATAGCCCGGATGCAGAATGCTGCCGCCTTGCTTAAGTCTGACTTTTTCTGGTTGTGACTGAGCTTGAGCTGTTCGTGTCAGTCAGGCACTTCGTGTGTTAGTCTTGTGGGTTTCCCTTTTGTGGATTATTGGTTCACTTCTTTTCCATGTTTTTCTCTGGGTTCCTTTTTTTTTTTTTTTTTTTT